AAGCACGGCCCAGCCCTGCCTCTGCCCTCTGCCACTCTCTCCTTTCCCTCCTGTGTCCTTGTTCCCTTCTGCTCCTGTGCGTTCTCAGCCCCACAGAACCAGCCTGGGGAGGACCTGCTGGCTCTACCTCCTGTGTGGATCAGGCAGATGGGCTCCTGGTGGGATGTCTGCCAGATCCAAGGGAGAGAGATTCTCTACCCCTGGTGCTCCCTGAACTGAGGTCTCCACTCAGAGCAACCTTTTTTCCCTCTTTTAACTCAATAAACTTCTGCTGCATCCCAGCTCATGTCTCTGTGTCATCCTTTCCCCTGAAGACATTCTCCCAACATGCCCAGGGGAAATGGTGTTGTCTAGGAGAGGTTCTGGGAGGGGGTTGTTGGAAAAGGCTGTGCAGTGTTTGTCAACGTGGTTTTGCAGTGAGGCTACTCAGTCAGGAATTGTGTGTATTTGCTGGTTTTTAAAGGTCTCTGTCTATTTGGGGATGGAGTGACCAGTGAAGTTCAATGTCTAACATCTGCTTTGTTGTGCTCACCTTGTCTTTTGCCTTAGTAAGCTCATCCCTGTAACACAAGCAGTCCGAGGGAGGAGGGATGAATGTGTTATTGACAAGACAGAGGGAATACCTTCCCAGGAAAGCCCAGGAGATCCTGTCCTAGCAATAGCATTGAGGTTCAAAGTTGTGGGGTGAGGTGGAAATAAAAGCATGAAAACAGGAAGGGAACATACGTCCATACCATCTTCAGGAAGACTTTGTCCGAAGAGCTGGAGGCCACAGGTTTGTGGTCTTTAAGTTGGTGCAGGGATGTTTTTTGCAATCCTTTGTTTCCCTCAATGAAGCATTCCACAGAGCTCCTCACACTGCCTGTGTCCTCACCGTGAAGCGGAGCCCCCCTTCCTCATTGCTGGCCTTACCCCAGTGGGCAGAGGCACAGGCTGGCCCAGGGTCCGTAGGATCATACCATAGTCAGGGTGGAAAGAACCTGCAGAGATCATTGGGCCCAACCCCTTGTTCCCAGCTCAGTCAGCCATGACCATCCAAGGAGGGCAACTGCACAACCTTCCCAAGCAATTATTCCACTGCTTCATCCTCCCCTCGATGAAGAACATTTTCCATCTATTTAGTCCCAGCCTCTCATCTTTCACTGTGAGTCCCGTGTCTCTAGTCCTCCAGCCATGCACTGCCACAGTGTTGAGCCTGGATCTGTCTTCTGAGGCACCTCACCAGAGCTACTCCAAATCTGCTCTCAAGTCTCCCACTAAAGCCTCCCCTTCACACTCAGCAAGTCTCATACCCTCAGCATGTCCTACTCAGGGAGGTGCTCCAGCTCCTCACAATCCTGGAAATCCTCTGCTGAACTCCCTTGGTCAAGGGCTTTCTTGTACTACATCTTTCCTTGTGTCAGAGCAGAGTCCTGGATGTCATGAGGTGCGTGCTGAGCAGAGCAGCATCGTGGCTCCCATGGATCTCCTGGTCACACTCCTGCTCATACAGCCCAGGGGGTTCAGGACACTCCTTGGGGTCTGGGCACATTGGGCCAGTGGTTTCTATTCTCATGGGGTCACTGCAGGAGCCCCTTTTCCTGGCCCTGCTCTGGGGCTGCTGCTTGCCAGGGGCTGAGGGAGGTGTCAGCACTCAGGGCTGGGGGGTCCCAGTCAGCTGCCATCGAGGGCTCTGGGTGGACACGTGTCACCCTGCCCAGCAGTGTCCTGCAGCAGTTCAGCCACTGCCCTTCCTCAGCTGCTCCTGGACAGCCCTTTGAGACACTCAGTCCATACCCGCTGCCTCTCTTCCTGCTCTGTGTCTCCCTGGGCTCTCTCTCCCCAAAAACATTCCCAGGAAGGCCTGGGCACAGACAGGGAATGAGCAGGGCAAGGGGGAGATGCACAGGCTGGGGGCCTGTGTGGGTGTGTTTAACCCAGTCAGCACTGAGCACCGAGCAGCTCTGCTCTAGATCCACTGTCCCAGTGGGGTGGGGGAGAACTGGGAGAGCAAGAGAGTGGGATACCCTGGGTTTGAGATCAGGGGAACACAAAAAAGAGGAAAAACAAAGGGACTGGAAGGTCATCACACACCGCCTTGCACCACCAGGTTAACGCTCAGGCATTCACCAAAGGATGGATACTTTGGAAAGTCTTCCCACAGCCTTTCAGGTACCAATCATTGTGCCAATACACATTGCACAAGCACCCCCAAAAATACTCTGAGAAACATCGCTGAGGATCCCCTCTCTCCCTGGACATCTGGGGAGAGCACCTGCAGGGGAAAGGATGACACAGAGACATGAGCTGGGATGCAATAGAACTTTAATCAGTGAAAAGATGAAAATGAGGTCGGTTGGAGTGGGGAATCCAGCACAGGAAGAACTACGGGCAGACAATAGTGTGTGTCCATGGCTGTGGCAGAGATCCCATCTTCCTGATCCAGAGAGGGAACAGGGCCAGCAAGTCCTCCCCAGGCTGGTTCTGTGGGGCTGAGAGCCCACAGGAGCAGAAGGGAACAAGGACACAGGAGGGAAAGGAGAGAGTGGCAGAGGGCAGAGGCAGGGCTGGGCCGTGCTTGCCCAGAGCCCAGGCTGGCCCCGTCCTTCTGCAAGGGCTGCTGGGCTCGCTCAGCCCCTCTGGAAGCAGCAAGATGATGCTGCGTCCCCAGGGCAGTTCCATCCTGTGTGTCCCTGGGTTCCTTGCCAGGGCCAGGGGCAGCAGCTTTAGCAGGGGAAGCAGCTCCTGCCACAGCGGCCACTGCCCAG